TTGGAGCATTGGGTGACTAAAGAAGAATACTTCGTTTTTATGTAAAAATACACAAAAGAAGCTTTTTTATCAGACTATTGCAAAGAAGTCAATGACTGGATTTCGCTATAATAGTCTGACCAGATTTTAAATTAAGTGACTTTGTGTAATTTAATTTGAAGAAAAGGTTGGAGCATTGGGTGACTAAAGAAGAATACTTCGTTTTTATGTAAAAATACACAAAAGAAGCTTTTTTATCAGACTATTGCAAAGAAGTCAATGACTGGATTTCGCTATAATAGTCTGACCAGATTTTAAATTAAGTGACTTTGTGTAATTTAATTTGAAGAAAAGGTTGGAGCATTGGGTGACTAAAGAAGAATACTTCGTTTTTATGTAAAAATACACAAAAGAAGCTTTTTTATCAGACTATTGCAAAGAAGTCAATGACTGGATTTCGCTATAATAGTCTGACCAGATTTTAAATTAAGTGACTTTGTGTAATTTAATTTGAAGAAAAGGTTGGAGCATTGGGTGACTAAAGAAGAATACTTCGTTTTTATGTAAAAATACACAAAAGAAGCTTTTTTATCAGACTATTGCAAAGAAGTCAATGACTGGATTTCGCTATAATAGTCTGACCAGATTTTAAATTAAGTGACTTTGTGTAATTTAATTTGAAGAAAAGGTTGGAGCATTGGGTGACTAAAGAAGAATACTTCGTTTTTATGTAAAAATACACAAAAGAAGCTTTTTTATCAGACTATTGCAAAGAAGTCAATGACTGGATTTCGCTATAATAGTCTGACCAGATTTTAAATTAAGTGACTTTGTGTAATTTAATTTGAAGAAAAGGTTGGAGCATTGGGTGACTAAAGAAGAATACTTCGTTTTTATGTAAAAATACACAAAAGAAGCTTTTTTATCAGACTATTGCAAAGAAGTCAATGACTGGATTTCGCTATAATAGTCTGACCAGATTTTAAATTAAGTGACTTTGTGTAATTTAATTTGAAGAAAAGGTTGGAGCATTGGGTGACTAAAGAAGAATACTTCGTTTTTATGTAAAAATACACAAAAGAAGCTTTTTTATCAGACTATTGCAAAGAAGTCAATGACTGGATTTCGCTATAATAGTCTGACCAGATTTTAAATTAAGTGACTTTGTGTAATTTAATTTGAAGAAAAGGTTGGAGCATTGGGTGACTAAAGAAGAATACTTCGTTTTTATGTAAAAATACACAAAAGAAGCTTTTTTATCAGACTATTGCAAAGAAGTCAATGACTGGATTTCGCTATAATAGTCTGACCAGATTTTAAATTAAGTGACTTTGTGTAATTTAATTTGAAGAAAAGGTTGGAGCATTGGGTGACTAAAGAAGAATACTTCGTTTTTATGTAAAAATACACAAAAGAAGCTTTTTTATCAGACTATTGCAAAGAAGTCAATGACTGGATTTCGCTATAATAGTCTGACCAGATTTTAAATTAAGTGACTTTGTGTAATTTAATTTGAAGAAAAGATTGGAGCATTGGGTGACTAAAGAAGAATACTTCGTTTTTATGTAAAAATACACAAAAGAAGCTTTTTTATCAGACTATTGCAAACAAGTCAATGACTAGATTTCGCTATAATAGTCTGATCAGATTTTAAATTAAGTGATTCTGTGTAATTTGATTTGAAGAAAAAGTTGGGGTATTGGGTGATTGAAGAAGAATGCGTTGGATTTATGTAAAAATACATAAAAAAAGCTTTATTTCGCCACCGTTTTCTTGCAAAAAGTAACGTATAAAAAAACATTTAAACCTATTCGTCGTCGTCGTCGTCTTAATTATCGTGTTCCTAACGTCTGTCGGGATCACCATCATCATCGTTATCATCATCATCATCATCATCATCGTCATCATCATCGTCATCATCATCATCATGGTCGTCAATCTGGTCGTCACGGTCATCATGATCGTGGTCTCGAACGAATTAATCTCGCCGGTCGTGTGAATCCGAATCGCGAGCAGGAGCCTCGTCTCACTATCGATTGTCCACTGGATCGTCCAGTTCCTGCCCGTCACCGCGGTCGTCCACGTGGGATCACTGTGCGTCGAACAATGGATCGCCGTCGAGCCGTGGCCGGAGCCAAAGCCGTGAATGCGTGCGTGAAATCGCGGATCGTCGAAATCGGTTGTTGTTGTTGTTGGAAGTGTGGAGGATGAGCTGGGCGTCAACGGGCGTTGCGAGTGACTAGTAGGGGCCCGAGCCGCCGCCGGGCGCGCCGTAAGACGAGCTGGGCCCGCTTGGCCCGCTGCCGCCGTGACCGTCCAGGCCACCGCCAATGCCACCGCCGATGCCACCACCGAAACCGCCTCCAGCGCCACCGCCGATACCACCACCGATTCCGCCGCCGATTCCTCCGCCGATTCCTCCACCGATTCCACCGCCGATTCCTCCTCCTCCACCACCGGACGTGACTTCCTTCTGCAAATTAATAATTATCGAACGTTTAGCGATCGTTCAATTAAAAATTCTTTGAGGCTGTTAGGTTTTAACGTTCGTGCCGATTTTTGGTGTACATAGCAAAAATTTAGAGACATACTAATATACAAGTAGTATATGTTGGATTTTTCTCATATTTCATCCATCCATAATTTAAATAAAAATTCATAAGATTTGAAAATTCTCAGACATTGCCGGATTCGAAGGGGAGTATCCTTCGGAATATAATGATTTTTGGCATCTTTGGGATTTAATTCCTCTGATTCTAATAGATCAATATTGATGAAAAAATTCAGAGATGTACTAGTACACGAGT